CCACCGAGTCTGGCCTGTGCTGGTTTTTTCCTCTTTTTAAGCAAACGCCTCCCACGTTCAGATGCCATCGTCATCAGCCTCCCTGTCGTACAGCTGGGGAAATGGAGGCACAGGGCAGAGAAGTCACAGCCAGGAAGCGGCCGTGCTGAGCCTCGAACCGAGGCTGCCTGGCGCCCTGATGCCTGCCCACCGCCCGCCTTGGGGACCGGTGGCCAGGTGTGGCTGGGGCATCATCTGTCTGGCCACTTGCTACGTTGGCCGGGCTGGTCTCAAACTCCTGGGCTCAATTGATCCTCCCGCCTCAGCCTCCCAAAGTGCCGCGATCACAGGCATGAGCATCCGGTGAGGTCTCGTGAACACGCACGGGGGGCCAGGCCTGGGCAGAACCGACGTCCTGCCTCTTCAAAAAGAGACAAGGGGGCAGGGGCTGGGGCTGCATTTTAAACGGGTGGGCGGCCCAGATGTGGGGGCTCACGCCTGCGATCCTGCGCTCTGGGAGGCCGAGGCGGGAGGATCGCTTGAGCCCAGGCGTTCCAGCCCAGCCCGGGCAAGGTGGCCAGACCCCGTCTCTACAAAAGATAAAGAAAAACTAGCCGGGCACGGTGGCATCTGTGGTTCCCGCAACTTGGGAGGCTAAGGTGGGAGGATCGCTCGAGCCCAGGAGGTGGACGGCAGAGCGAGACCGCGCCGCTCGACAGATAAACAGCGGGGCGGAGGTGGCTGGGCAGGGTGGGGGCCGGGAGGTGTCGCCTGAGCAGAGACCTTGGGGAGCTGGGGGCTGTGCCCTGGGCGTGTCTGGAAGGAGGGCGTCCCAGGCACAGGGCCCGGCCTGTGCCAAGGCCCTGGGGCAGCACCCAGCAGGCATGTCGGAGGCTGGGAGGAGGCCCTCGTGGTTGATGCAGAGGGAGGAGGGGGAGGGCTGGCGGCCACGGACGGGGTGGGCAGGCCGTGAGGACGAGGGCTCAGACCCCGAGGGAGGTGGTGGCCACAGAGCGCTGCTGGCCGAGGAGTGCGGGCTGGACTCCAGGCTCAGGACGGCCCAGCTGCCGCGGGGCTGGACCGGGCTGGTCTAGGCGGGCCTGAGGGCTGCGACCGACCATCACCTCCCGGCTCCTCCCTTGTCACCGGGTCGCTGCGGTCTCCGTCTCCGGGGCCGGCCGTCCCGACACCGGCCGCGTCCGCCGGAGAGGCCGCTCGGGGGGCACCTTCCCAGGGTGCCGCGGGGCTGGCCAGGGCGGGGCCCGGGGTGCGGGCTCCCGGCTCGGGCCCCAGCTTCTTCCTTGCGGAATCTGAAGTGGAAAAACAGAAACCAGGCCAAGCCCGCCACGGAGTGGGAGGCCCAGGCCGCCAGAGAGCTCCCTCCCCCAGCCTGCGGCGCTGGCCTGGCCATGCTGAGCTCCGGTCTCTTCGGCGGCGGAGGGGATGCCCGGGCCTCGGGGCCGGCGAGGCCCCCCGGTTCTGTGGGTCTGTCTGTTCCCGGGGCAGAGCCGGGCGGGACGGGCTGGGGTCGGCTCAGCCGCCTCGAGCTGCGTGGGCCTCGAGCAACCTCTCGGAGCCTCAGAGACAGCGCCCGGGCCCAGTGCGGGGAGAGGCCGGCCCCTGGAGCCACAGGTGGCCTCTGTCCCTTCTGGCCTCTGCCCTCTGAGAGGAGGAAGGCGGCTTTGTCCGAGGAGGCCCAGGCATCTGCAAGGCCCTGTCTG